TTACATATCTTTCTCCTAGAAGATCATCAAGGAAACCAAACGCAGCTAGAAATTCTGATCTTCCTGCATTTATTGGAGCCTCGAAATGAGCTGGGATAATCCTTTTGAATCTCCAATCACGGGCTATCTCATCGATCCAATCCCTCACCTGAATTAGTAGTAATGATCAAATCAAAACAAACCCTTTTGGACCAAAAGTTTGTAATAACAAATGATGCAGAAATAAGGAACCTTCTCAGGGACTTTACTAAAGACCAAAGTCTTTACAATGGGAGAAACGATCAGCTTCTGTGACATTTGTGCGAAGCTTGCGTTTGGTTCCAAGAGATTAGAAGGACCAAGAAATAGAATTTGCAGAACCATTCGTTCCCATCCTGCAAACAAACAGAGGTCATTGAGATGTAAAGATCTTATGTTTGATTGAAAACAGGGGAATTGGATTCCAAGAACTGCTGACCTTTTTGGCGGGTGTTCGGGTTATCAACAACCGGGTCATTGGGTACTTCTTTTCCTTTGCTAAGTATCTTCACAGCCAGCCCGTTCTTAGCCGAGGCCAACAAGGATTCGTTGCTGATACTCGAGGGCGGTTTCCGTGGGACGAAGATCACAGCATCAGTGACTAAAAGAGTTCTTGACCGCTTATGGTAGAACGCTACTTCGACATATGGACCAATTCCTGTATATCCCATAAGTAAACATGACTTCTGAATCTTTCAACACAAAAACCAGATTGAAATAGTGAATGAACATACCAACTTCTGGAGAGCTTAGGACTTTCTGCTCGATCTCCTCAGCCCATGGCGTAGATAAGTCTCTGTCTTTAATGATTTTAGCCCGAAAGATACCGAAAAACTCGAGTGGTAAGTTCAATGGCCAGCTCCATTGTCTTGGTGCCACCCATACTTGAGCCTTGGGGAACTTTCTAGAAAAAGGACCGACAAAAATCTTGTGCTCGTAAGCAAACGTTGGCAGGACAATGTACTCCACCGGAGCTCCCAACTCCTTAATAAGCTGC